GTAGCTGTTGTCACTCCTTCCGATTCAGGAATATCACACGTGTATAGCAAGTATAATATCGGGCCCAATATACTCCCTTGTGGTACCCCCGACTTGATATCCCTAAGCGAAGAGTACTCCTCTTCCTGTTTAACTCGAAATACCCTATTAGTCAGGTAAGATTCGAGTAGGTCAACAGACTGCCTTGGTAGTAATCGCCTAAGTTTTTTTATTAATCCACAATGCCAAACCTGATCGAAGGCCTGGGCTACGTCCAAAAATATGATAGAACATATTGTTTTCTCTTCCAGTGAATTTTCTATTAGATCAGTTATTCTATGAATCTGATCTATGGTTGAGTGGTTGCGGCGAAAACCAAATTGATGGTTCGGGATTAACCTTTTACTTTCAATTATAGGCTGGAGTCTTCTCAATAAAAGTTTCTCTAGCAGTTTTGAAATCATAGGCAACAATGAAATTGGTCTATAAGAAGTCGCTTTGTCTATAGGCTTGCCAGGTTTGTGCAGCATGATTATCTCTGCAACTTTCCAAATTTCAGGCACGCAATTGAACCTTATACACGCATTTATTAGGCGCGTAAGCATCGTTATACCCCTTTTGGGTAATTCTTTCAAAATATCGGCCGTTATTAGGTCAAATCCTGGGGCCTTTTTAGGTTTAAGAGTCCTGATTTCTTCTATGACCTCTCTTTCCTTGACAATTGGAATAGTCACGCTATCCCCAACAAAAGCAGATTCCTCATTTTCATACACGCTCCGGCTGTCATGCGGGCAGAATATATCGGCCAAATGATCCGCAAACGCATTTGCCTTCTCCTTGTCAGTTTTTGCCCACGTTCCATCTTTGTTTTTAATAGGAGCGAGATGTTTGATAGGTTGCTTCATTTTCTTTGTTGCCCTCCACAGTGAGTAATTGGTTTTCTCACACGCCGTCAAATTTTGAACATAATCAGCAACCGAATCCTCTTTGTATTTTCTAATACAGCGTCTTAGTTGCTGCGATTCATGATTATATCTGGTTTTATCGGCAGGATCACGCGTTTGCTGCCACCTTTTTCTCGCCCGCCTGCTTCGTTTTACTTTTGCTAGTATATGTGGGGGATAGTTAATGCCCCCCCCCCCCCCCTCCTAATAACGTTAATTTTGGAACTACTCCAAGCCGCATTTTGAATAATTTTAGTAAAGTTTTCGGCCTCCTCATCTATGTGCTGGGTCGTTCTTATTCTCTTCCTTAGATCTATTTGACGTTCAATCTCTAAGCGAAATCTTGACCAATCTGTAGTTCCATTTGTCAGCGCAGGTTTCGCTCTTTTCATAACTATATTTTCCTTAAGTACAAGAATAACCACCGAATGATCGGAGTCAAGATCGTAGTTATCATGTACCTCGATGAAATTTTTCGCAATCCGTTTCGTTATGAAGAAATCTATTAAATCTGGACACTTATTAATATCGGTTGGCCAATACGTTGGCTTCGCATTGGAATGAAAAAGGCACCCCGTGCCGCCAATTGCTGTCCTAAGTTCTCTTCCTCTAGTTGAAGTATGCCTTGAACCCCAATCAGTGTGCTTGGCGTTAAAGTCACCCCCCAATATAAATCTATCGCCCAGGTCTGTCAGAACGCATTGAAACATTTCTGCCGTAATTTTAAATCTAGGGTGACAATATAATGCAGCCACTCTAAATTTCTGCTTAGGCGAAGTGATCTGAACTGCTGTCATTTGCATTTCCTCGGTTTGCATCTGGTGCAGATCGCAATGCACCACATTTTCTTTTATTATTATCGCCATTCCTCCCTTCGCTATATTTTCAGGATGGTTCGAGTTGTAAATTCTATAACCCGGAAACCGAATCCTGCTTCTTAAGGTCATATGTGTTTCAGTTACGAGGCACACGTCTATATTCTGTGTATGCAGAAAAACTTCAAGCATGTCCTTTTTATTTGCAATACCATTGCAATTCCATGTTGCTATTTTAAAATTACCTCGTGCCATCATTTACCAGGTCTTTTGGTATTCGATTTTTTCCCTTCGCTCTCTAAAATACTCCATCTCTGAGAGATTTTGTCCATCATATTTAGCAAGTTCTGCATCATATTTTGCATTTTATACAAAACATTCACATCACTGGCCCTTGTTTTCTTGCTCGTGCCACCGTCATCAGTTTTCGTTTGGAGAACTTTCCTGTATGTTACATCTTTTGAGACTATTCTCGAGGTGAATTTCCTCGGTGGCCGTTCAGAATTCTTCAGGTTGCTGTTGCTGTTCAAATTTCTACGTTTTTGCAGTTTCTTAGCTACAAGGCATCCCCTATAGTTTGCTGGGTGGGCCTCCAAGCAATTGGAACACTTTGCTGCAGTACCCTTTGGCTTACTGCAATCTGATGTTAAGTGCCTGTCTGCACATTTAACACAATTCGGTTCTCTCGGGCAGAATTTTTGTGTATGCCCATACCTTTGACACCTTTTACACTGCGGAATGGTTCTGTCCTTTCGAAGTGCCTCTATCCTAACTTTCATCCTGTTTATGTAATCGATTTCATAAATTTTTTTCATCTCTTCTTCATTTGAGAATGTTAACATAAACAGCGGTAGAGGTACCATAATGTTTTTCCCATTTTCTTTCATTTTTTTAATTTTATTGGTTACATCTAAGATCTTGTAACCCCTAGAGCTTAGGTCTTCCTTTATATCTTCCGGTTTACAACTGGGGTGAATACCTCTTACCATGACTTTTATTGGTCTGGCCTGCTTGTTTTCATAGGTATGCCATTCTAGTCCAGATCCATTCATGGCTCTGGTAAGATTCCTGTAGTCCATTTCGGAATTTACAATAAGCTTAAATTGATTGTTGTTCATCATTTTAACCTTATAATTGATGTCCTTATTTTTTAATGTTGACTCTATTTTATTATAGTCAACCACATTACTTATGACTACTGGAGGCGGCCTAGAGTTTTTCGTGACATTGCCTCGACTTTTAGAATCAGGAACATCCGCTTTCTCAGCGTTGGTTGTCACCTGAACCACTTCCGGAAACGATTCCGCTTTTCTTTTTTTACTGGACCTCTTTTGTTTTAGGATCCAATCCGTTTCTCTGGCGAGTTCCTCCTCATTTGTTGAGTAGGCGTCTAAGACTGACCTCACCTGCTTTGCTCGTGGTGCAGCCTCATTTTCTTTATGACTGCCCACATTAGACTTGTTATTTGTAATTTGCGTATGCTTCTCTTTCTTTAGTTTCTCATTTTCAGCCCTCAGTTGAAGAACCTCGCTTTTCAAAGCCACACAGAGCTGTTCCAGTTGGCTAATCCTTTTGTGTATGTCAGCATTCTGATCATCACTTTCTTTGTCTTGAGCTTTACTCATGTTTATACCCTTATTGGTCTGTGGAGCTTGAATGTTCGGTAGTCCACCTTCTCTATTTCCATTCTTTTCTAAAATCCGAAGAGGGTGGATTCTCCAACGTAGTTGAATTACCACCTGGGGTACTAAATCCTTTTGTTTTGTCCATTGCACAAATGATTAAATTCTGCATTTTATACCTACTGCCAGGATTCAAAAACTGCCGTCCCTCAGGGATCAGACGCAGACCAGGGAGCCGCCTATTCTAGGTCAGACGCTTCTGGATTTACCGCCCGCGCGCTTCCTACTAACCAACGAAACCCGGATTAAGCGCCGAGTACTCGCTTTCAGCCGCTCTCGTCAGCCTTACTAAGTAAGTTGCCCAGGAGACACCAGGCAGATAACTATGTTACCTACCTTCTAGGAGGTGAGAGTCGGATTTGTTGGCAGAACTGATGTTTTCAGAGGGCATTTCCTAGCATTTTCAGCCTCACATGTTAGGAAAATGTGACACTGACTAGGGCCCATGCCAACTTTTGTCCCCCACAAATATATCTTAATTAAAAACTTTTTTAATTCCGCAAACTCAGAAAGGCAACGCCATGCTTCGTTTAATAAATTATTGAAAAGGCAACTAATGAATAATTTACTTTTTTGGAGAAAATTTTTTCCTTTCTCAATTTCTTTCAGGTTATCGGCACCCGTAATTTGTAAAATTTGAATTTGCGGCGTATATATTTGCGGAACTAAGCGAAAAGGTAACAATGACGAATTCAAGTATTTTCTTTTCTTCATCCTAAATGTGTGCAACACCTCAATATATTTTGGTATATGAATAAAAGCAATTTAAATGATGTAGTAATGATGTTATTAAAAGCAGTATGATCGCTTGTTCAAGAAAAAAGTGTTTCTTTACAATAGTTTGACCCAACTTTGCTTCTTTTTTGTTTTGGAACAATTTTAATTAAAGTCGTTCATTATCTAATAAAAAAAATCTAATGTGGTCAACATACAACCGACCACAAGGTGTATCGTCTAGTTCAATGAAAGCGTTGCACAAGAAAATATTTTTTGGACACTTTAGAACGCTACTAAGCTGTTAGTTAGCATTAAGTTAGCATATTCAATTAAAAGTACTGTGCAAATGTTAATTTTTAACAAACGTTACCAGGTCATTAAAAACATTGCATTTTTATGTTGCATTTTAGGAAAAAAACTAAGTAACTAGCACTTTATTGCTGAAAATAAACGCTAATTTATTTAATTGCTTATTTATGGCAACATTTATATGACAAGGTATAAAAAAGCGTGCTCGATTTTTTCGATACCCGATTTTCTTTTATTTAACGTTTCCACTACGTATAAAACGCATTTAGGAAAAGTGTGCAATGTTAAGAGCTTTTACTAAACTTTTTGGAATTTGATACTTTGTAAAATTTACGTCGTAAGCGCATTATTGAAGTTACGGTTTATGTCATCCGAAATACTTAAGCGTAAAAATGTAAATTTGGTCCATAGCTAAAGTTTAATTGCAGATTTCTGACTTTTTTGAAAAGTTAGGTGCTTCTTGTTCTATGAGATGAATAATACATATAAAATTTCAAGATTAAATATTTTCTTAAAAAAATTTCTATTTAATACTTAAATCTTACTTAAAAAAGGTAGTAAAGGTCCAGTATTTGAGGTCAGTCATATCCCAAAAGTTGGTCAATTTGTTACGTAGCCAAAGTAATTTCTCATATAAATTTTCATCACATTTCCCTACTAAAGAGAAATACTTTTTCACACAAAACTTGACACGTGAAATTTGGTGCCATTACACAACCTCTCTTATTGTGTGGAATGCCTTTTCTAATAAATGGTAAAAGTGAGTATCCTTTTAGTGGATTAAAAGCCTCAATGCCTTAAGAGATAATTTACTTACTTCATTTTGAAATTTCATTTACAAAAAATGTGTGAAAAGAATCTTAAATTTTAATTTTTCATGTTTTGTATTCTTTTCATTTTGCTTTTTTTGCACTAAATATTTTCAATTATGTTTTGCTAAAATTGTGTATGCCAACGAAGTCATTTGTTTAAATAAAATTCTACGTAACGCATATACCTATGTATATAAGCATTAGAAATCATTTTTGAGAAAAAGATTCGAAACGAATAACCCTTTCTTGATTAATGTATTTTAGTTAAAAATAAAAATTGTACGTATTTTTAATATTAAAAATATTTCTAATATATTTTGAAAATGACTTACTTTTGAAATGACTTTTTTCCCAGAATTTTTCCTTTTATGCGAATAAATTTTAAAAAAACAATTTTTAAAGTTTTTTATACTCCGCACTTTTGTGAAGGTGTAGATTTCGAAATGTCCGTCCGTCCCTTCCACCGATCGCACGATAACTCAAAAACGAATAATGTAATCGACCAAAACTTTCACAAGTTGTTTCTTTTATGGCAAGGACGGCTACTATTGTAATTGGACCAATTTGGGCAACGAGTTCGGGCAGCTGCCATACAATTAAAAGAGGTTTTTTGAAATACTTCAAAAAAAAAACGAATAGAGGTATTAATATCAAATTTTGCAAGATCTACAATATGTTTTGAAAATCGAATGGCTGCACTGGTTCGGGTAGATGCCACATAAATCCAAATGCTAATTCTATATATTCGGAATAGTAAAGCTAGATCCATGAAAAATGGCAGTGCTGTGTCCAATTTCAGGTCAACTAACATATATCTGAAATGTTGGTGGCCAGGTTTGACAGGTTCGAGGAGTTGCCATGGAACTTCAAAAGCTAATTTAAAATATTCAAAAAAATAATAAAGCATGTTTCATGAAACTCGGCAAAAATCAAAAAATCAAAAAAATTTCCAAGAGAATGCCACTTATAAGGTAAAAACAAAATAATAAAACATTTTGAATTCTTACTTGCATTTTTATTTATAGGTTAAGGGCTTTTACACAATACCGAATAATTCTTCTAACTCGGAAATTACATTATACAAATATATGATAGTTACACATTTTCTTCTCACATGCCTAGTAAAATAGGGAGATAGATGATCAGACCCTTAAACTCAGATTATCAAGATACAATTTATAACTCGGTCAGTTTATGCCGACTGAAAGGTTTTTACTTGTTATATTGTTATCTTTATCAATTTTCATTTCAGCAACAAGCTACGAAAGACACAATTGATAACGTGATATTAATTTTTTATTTGAAAGATCAGTTAAGTGTTTTGCTGGAAGAGCTTAAACCTAAAAATCTTAATTTGAATATTTTGCAGGACAAGGAAGTCTTGAAACATATTAATTATTTTTTAAAAAAATTCAAGGAGTTACGAATTAAAATTCAAGTTTACTGTTATGACATTAAATATTTGCAGTGTATTAGAAATCACTCATGTAATTATTCTTGATTAAATAAGCTATAAAATGGTCAATTGTAAAATTAAAGTTTTATTTGGTCAATTAAACTACCTAAATTAAATTTTAAAATGAAAGGCGATTGAAAGACTATTTTGTATAATCGGTATAAAAAACTAATTAAATATATCGATACTTACACTTTGAAAAACATACTATTTTTCAAACAACTGTTTTATATATGTATTTTAAGTATGTATATGTAAGTTTCTTATTACACTTTAGCTTATAGAGTAAGATATAAAACCTGCTGATGTTTTCAATAAAATATAACTAAAAGTCTTCTTTTACGGTTTTTATAAAAAAATGTGTAATGTAATTCAGGTACAACGCAAAATTCTTTTTCAAAAATAAACATTTTTATTCAAACATATAAGGATGTACTGTGCTGATGATTCACAGTATGCTAAGCAAAACCAGTTCACAATACTACATTCTCTTGAATATTTGAAATTCATACATCGAAACTGCATAATGTTATCAAATCTTTGGAAGCTTTACCTATAAACTCACATATTTTTATGCCCTTTATTATCCAAATGTTTTAATGTTATTAATACGATTTTAAATGTTATTAGTTACCGGTATTCTTTTTTTGAGAATATTTAAACGTACCTACCTCTATTCGAGATGACAATTTTTCCTTTAAATACTATTAGTAAATTCTTTGACTAATTTTTGATAGAAAACGGATTTTCTTTTATTTTTTGACATTTACTGTAATAATTTATATCAGAAAATATTATTAATGTAACAACACTAAAATTTTACTTGCGGAAAAAAAAAATAAAGAACAAATTTTTCTATAACATACATAAATAATCCGCTAAAATTTTTATTCAACACCGTCACCTGTTCCAAACAATAAAATCATTTAATGTTCTGTTTCTTCTTAAAAATTCAAAACTATAAAGTTTTTGACTACAAACTAAAACCACAGTTTTATCTTAATGGAAATTTAAAACCACAGTTTCTTTCTTGAATGTCAATCCTAATAATTTAAATTGACACAGTTTCTTTTTTGAATGGAATCATTTAAATTGACGATTTGATTTGATGCCTGTGATGGTCTTTAATTTTTAATTTTCTCGCAGACATAAGAAAAATATTTTTATGTTTTTTAATTAAAAAATAATTTTTTTTGTTTAACTGATAAAAAAAATTGTAATTACTTTTACAAAATTAATGAATATGTATCACACATGTATTGTTGTATATTTATGTATCAGCATTTGATTTTTTTTAATTATCCTTAACTTTGAATTAAATCAACTGTTTTGTACAAAAGTGCACATAAAATTATAATATTAACATTAAAAGAAAATAATTATTAAGTTTTCTTGCAAAATTTTAAGAAATTGGTTTTTTGATTTAACCTTCGAAAGTTTTTAATTATTATAATTTTATATATATGTGTTATTATTATTTTTGCTTTCTCATTTTTCCTTAAAATTATTTTTCTTATGATCAAAAAAATTATTGTTCATTTTTTTCTTAACTCGACTTTAAAATTAAAAACATATTTTGTTTTAGCACCAACAAAAAAATAATTTCGACGTTCTCATTCCAATAGAATATTTTCAACATAGATTTAATATTTACCTAAAAAAATAAAAAGGAAACAAGTAAAAACGTTTTAGTCGCTATAAACCGACCGAATTATACCCTGCACCTTAGCAACCTGAGTTTAAAATTGTTGTATACTGACTACCGAGTATTCTTATCTGGCAAATCACTCTATAGAAACTGCATAGATGTGTCTGACCTATAATTGGACACACAACTGCCTAGTTTCATGAACATAACTTTATAATTTTTCTAAATATTTAAAATTAGTTTGGACTGCAACTATTCCGTTAAATTTAAACTAAAAAATTTTCAAAACATATGTAGAGTGTAATTGGACACACCTTTGCAAAATTTGATAGTAATATGTCTTTATTAATTTTTGAAATATTTAAAAAAACCTCTTTAATTTGTAGGGCAGCTAAACGAACCCGTTGTCCGAATTGCTCCAATTACAATAGCAGCCGTCGTTTGCACAAAAGAAACAAATTGTGAAAGTTTGGTGCCGATTGCGTTATTTGTTTGTGGTTACAAACTTCATACCAAAGTGCATAAATCCTTCACGAAGATGCAAGGTATTAAAATCGTAATAAATAATATTATAATTATTGTGAGGACCTCATCATCGTCGTCATGGACAATTGAGATTGAGTTGACCAATATTCGGGTTATTCAAAGTTAATTTTGTATTCTTTTCTTTGATCGATTTATTAATAATTTTTATTATTATATTGTTTTTTTTTTCTTGCAAGACATATAATTAGTACTTATGTCAAAATTTTTTTTAATTGTATATATACGTGAAATACTTTTACAAAATAATGCTAACATATTTAACACACTTATTATATACAAAAAGAAAATTCTCTTCATTTTAATATTAATAAAATCTACCAAGTAATTTATTTAGAGCGTCCTAATAGGTTTTTGATGCATAAACTTAATATTTAAGGTGATAAATTTATTTAATATTTTGTACGTGTGTATGTGAATATCGACCTTATACCTTTATTATAAGCGTATGGGATATTTCAACTTGCAGACCGTATATATATGTGAATACATTATGTATGTATTTATACAATTATAAGTTTTCTTTCTCGAAAAATTATATTTTGATAACTGAAATTTTAAAGATATTATGATTTGAAACATTATTAAAAAAATATTGTTTATCGATAATCGAATAACCGCCTCCTATATTTGTAAACTTTTTTGATACACGTATCTATGTTTATAAAATATAGTTATTATATCATGAATATAGTATATATTCGATTATAAATATATATGTTAAAAATATATATGATAAAAATTAATTTGAGCAGCTTTTTCATTAATGTGGAAAATATTTTACTAATTTACTTATAAAATCAAGTCAGTTTGTTTGATGATGTATTGCCTAGGTCCTAGGTAGTACCTTCTATTTTTAAATATTATATAATACTTGAATTTTTGGAGTTGTCCACAATTAAAAATAACAGTAACATTTGTATCTTGAGAAGCAGAAGTCGGACAGGAATGATTTAAAAAACGTATTTCTGGATTTAGACGAAGAACGCCAATTTGCGAAAAAATTGAAAAGTAAAGCCGCGCGACCTTTCCAAAAAAATAGGGTTCCAAAAAAAATTGTGCCACTTACGCTATCCCAACTTAATTTTAAATTTACATTTGCATTTACATAAATTAATAACTGACAATATTTAAATGTAAAAAAAAAAATTCATAAA